CCACACATTCTCTGCGTAAAATGCACAGAAGATCCCAGAAGTACTTAGTGAGATTAACTGCAATGTCAATATTATCTTTGTCTATATTTTTCTTTGTGATTCATATATTATTACCGACTTTGTAAACAAAGAAGTTAATGCATAAATAGTCTTCAAAAATGTATTTAAAATGCCGAAGGATATGATATATTTTTATGGTTCATTAGAATGTATCCATGTAATAAGTATTACCAAACACATTTTTCTAAGCCAGTGTAACTACAATTTAGTACGAAATCATTTCCCGCGCTATATTACTTCAACATGCCTCAGTTTTACTCATAACAGATTTAGAATCTCTATTCCTTTCCTGTAGGTCGCGCTATTTATTATTCCAAAAGTATATATGCCATTATTATTCTTAACTTTGTTTAACGCAAACTAGCGTTTATTATGAAACATTTCTATAAACGTAAATAAAATCACGACCTACATCTCCAGAATGTGACTTTATTAGCTCAATATTTTGCTATTACAGCTTCGTCAGGAGTTGTCGATAACCTACAAGTTCACAACATTAAAAATGTTGCTCACAATACTATATTTCAGAAGTGAATAAATAAAAAAAGAAGTGTTAAATAAGTGGATAAAATGGATACAAACATTCATTGGAAAACAAATGTTTTTAATTTCAAATAACATTTTATGCAGTGATGTCTCTTAATTTTTGTATACTTGTATTATCTAGTTAAATTTGAAAAAAAAAATTGCAATTTTATTCCTTAATGAATAAATGACTTACCATTGAATTTTGCTGTTCCCCAGTTCCAACCCTTTAAGCATAATTCTTTTGTTTTCATCTCCAAGTCGAAGTTGTGTGAAAAGAATTTTCCAAGTTTGTCATGATCCTGAAAGAAAATGCTTCTGTCATCAAACACTGTAGTGAAAAGGCTTTACAGATAGATCTCAAAGTATTTTAAACAATTATTTATCCAAACCTTAAATGCAACATAGAATATTCCAAACAATCCTTTCGTGAAAACAACCTCATTCATGCCCTAATTCAACTAGGTCAGTATAATTAATTTTACGGGAAAGCCAATTTAAACATTTTTCAAGACGATTCATTAACTCTTCACTTCTCCACTGAGAATTACTATGTCAGATTGTAAGACTCTTATATGTAACAAGATTCAAGGTTTAGACAGTACGTTTAAATGGAAACAATTTATACCATTAAAAGGATGTGAACTGAACTCTCTAATTTTAAATGTAATTTCTCAATATTAATAATAATAGAGACAAACATGTTAATCAAACTGTAATTGTAACTCTAATGATTGGTGAACACATGTTTACAATGGTACTGCTTAAAAACATGTGTCATCTACATTACTAAGAATACAGAATAGTTTTCAGAAAGCAGAATTTTCTCCATCGAGGGTAAATGGACAGCTACCCTTTATGATGAAAAATAAATTTTTCCAGAGAGCTCACTCTCATAATTTTCTTTTCTGATGCTAGCATTTTTTGTTGATCCTGCATGTTTTGGAATATCATAAGTGAACACACAGATTAGTTAACTTAGACAATTTTTTATAACCCTACACATATTTAATTTAAAAATCTAACTGTGAATTTTATTTGAAAAATCACAGATGACTTATTAAAAGAAACCTTTCAAACTATGTTAAGGTATACTAAGAAAATATGAATAATACTAACTGTATTTACTGAAATTACATAAAAAATACTTGTACGTAAGTCAGCTCAAAAGCGTAGTAATCTCCAAGGATAATTACAGCAATATAGGATTAAAACTTCTCTACAAAGTAAAAATTTAAATTTTTTTGTACAACTCTTTTTTTCAGACAAAATGTTATGGCTCACTTTTTGCTTTCAGAAAGAAATGCTAAAACACAGAAACAAAAAACTATATTAAAGTTAGTAAAATAAACAATGTATATTTATGTAATGCTTAAGATAATAGCTGTAACTTCAATGTTGACTATACAATGTAGACTGTTTGTAGGTCATAACATAAGAATACATAGGAAAAAACCTACCATTTAATCACTGTAACAAATAATGTTTGATTTATATTTTCAACTACTTACTGGTTCGCCAAAGCCTCCAAATCTGTAAGCTTGTCCACTTTTCATCATGATACGAATTCCAAATCCTGACGCTAACCTATGCCAACAAATGCTCTCCATTTCAGAACCCTGAACTTGTTCAACTTTACCAGTTTTACTGTTCTTAAAGATGACTCCTTGATTTGTCATTTTCAGGCGACCAGGATTCTTGAAAATTTAATAGCCAATAAAGTTAGTAAATTAGAAATATTTTTTATTATATAAATTCAACAGTATAATTATTAAAAAACAAAACAAGAAATTCCAGGTTTCATGGTTTAACAAAACTCAAGACTTCCCAAAGATTTTCCAGAATCTCAAAATCTTTATGATATTACTTTTTGATTCACAAGAAGCACAAGTATTCACTGAAATCTACTAACTTTCCTTCATAATTATTAAATGATGTTTAAAAAAAGCAAGAAGTTCAAAACATAATAGCGTGCAGATGTTCCACGAGAATCTATTCTTGCATCACATTATCCAAGTGGATTTCCAGAATTTATCAGAAAACAGTCCTACGCTTTACCATTTCATTACAATATGCTTACGCAGCCCTTGGTGGAAATTTATTTGTCTTTAGCAACATTTGGTTTTTTCTAATTCGTATTTGACAGATTTTACAATTTTGAAAAAATATTTATTGAACTTAATAATTAGTACTCTTGTATGGCTCGGAAATGTGGAGAACGATGAGAACAATAATGAAGAAGGTCCAAACCTTCATTAATAGATGTCTCTGCAGGATTCTTCAAATTTACTGGTCACAAAGAACCAGTAACACTGACTTATGGGAAGGAGAAAAACAAGACCCTGTTGAAAACGAAATCCTGAGGAGAAAATGAGGCTGCATTGGCCACACCCTGGAAAGCCTATCTCTAACAATACCTGGAATTCACAGAGGAAGAAGAGAGAGAGAGAGACACTCAGAAGAGGCATGACCTTAAGGCAGACAGTAAAAAGATGGGTTCCAAGTGGAGAAAACTGGAGAAGATGATCCAGTGTCAAACACGTTGGGAAGATGCCATTGATAGCCTATGTTCCAAGAGTAATATTGAATTTACTAAAACATAAATAATTTTTCCCCTCAAGTTTCATTAGTTTGTATGCAGGGGAAAGCACACAAGATGAAATGGTAAACGCTACATCAATCACGAGTTTTGATTTGTCCACTGCACTGTTTAGGTCATTTATGTCAAACATTCAAAGTGACCAACACTACCATACTACTGTATTACTTGACTTCTTTTTGTATGAAACCCATCAAGTTGCCAAACTTACACTTTAAAGTAACTGAAACCAAGAAGCTTGAAAACAAATATTTACAACGAAAGTTTACCGTTCATTACAAACAATTTAAGTAATGAATCTTCCTTTATCAAATACCATGATTTTTGACAAAACTTTCCAGAACTATTTCTGCCTATTTTTCAACACATACAGTTTTGAGCTCTGCAACTGACTTTGGTTTCCCTTTTGATACAGCAGTCTTCAAGTTAATCCACAACATCTATATAGGATTCAAGTCTGGGGACTGATTCTGACTGAGAAGGCCAATCCATAATGTATTCGTTTTTACCAGAACTTCCTCTGTAGACTTTGCAGAATGCTTAGGGTCATTATCCTGCTAGAATACAAAGTTCTCTCCAATAAACTTTCTAGCACTGAGTAGCAAATGAGTGGAAACAATCTTCATATTTTGCAGCATTCATTGATCCTTGTAAATGCTGTCAGTACATAAGGAATAAAAACAAGCCCATACTATCACACAACCTCCACTATGTTTAACATTGGGCAAGATTAACTTTTTCTTTAAATTTTTCTCCTCTCTCCCTCAACATAAATTGGATTTGTCTGACCACAAAATGTGGTTGAAAAATCATCAGGCTTCTTTAATTATTCAATGGAAACTTCAAACACTTTCATTTGTGTATTATTTTAAACAAAATTTTGCATCCTGGTTTTTTTGCCCATGGACATTCATTTTGAGTTATTATTAACTTTTTTGCTTGCCAATTTGGCCATCTTCTCTCAATTTTTTTATCAAATCTTCTCTAGTAGTCAAAGGATTTTGCTGAGCTGCTCAAACAATTATTCTTCCAGATTTTGCAGACATCTTGTTTGGTCTCCTACATCTGGAGCTAGTAACAGTAATTCCAGTTCTCCTCCAATTGTCAATAATAGCTCACACAATGATATTCAATAAACCAAGTCTTTCTGTTGTTTTTCTGGTAGTTTCACTTTATGTTATGTGGTGTCACTGCCAATTTCCAATTTACACTTCAGCACTTGTTGTTTATGTACTTTTACAATTATTGTTGAGTGTTAGTTTTCAATTATGACAATTGTCAATAATTAGTAACAAATGGGTTTCATAGATGTTGATTGCCCAAATATTTTTGTCAAAGTATGAAATCAGTTTTCCATATTTTTTTAAAGCTGAGAATCTCTAGTTTAATTCATCACTAAAATATTAATAATGATAGAAATCAATTTATTTTTGGTATTTCTCTTCTTTTTTAACTATCTAAATGCTTTTGTCTGCAACTCTATAACTATGAAAAATATTAATTTAAAGAACATTACCAAATATTATATTTTTTATTACTTTTAACTTTTTTTAAGCTAAAGTTATATAAAACATTACCTAGGCCTAAGCTTTTTATTATTAAATAACTTACCATTGCACCCCTGTCTTCTTTAAAAATATCGGGAAATTCCAAAAAATCCATATTAAGTCAAAATCTCAGACTAATCTTTATCACAGTTCTGCCTCAGAAAAAACAATCGCAAAGTCGAGGATATTGTATAACTTATAATTATTTAAGGTTTCCACGATTTTAAATGTATGTATGTTTACGTACAGCGACACACTGTTTTTTGTTATATATTCTACACTCCGGCCAAGACCTATCTCGTTAGATTAACTTTCAATTTAAGTTAACCCTAACCAACATTATACTAAAAAAATAGCGCTATCCGAAAAGCGCAACACGTTATGTAACGCTGAGGTTGAATTTGAAGTAAACGGATATGTCAACTGTACTTTCGTTTACGACAAAGTAACCTTTAAAGCGTACCTTCTCAAAAAATTTTTAATCATTCCAAAAACTCAGGGTATAACTACTTCTTAGTATTTGCTAATCCTGCCAGCATCATGAGGTTTTAGTGAGTTACATTCAAAATTTAAGTAAACTATTTTTCATCAGAATGTACAAATATGTTTGGCATAAAAATGTAGCTGATAATCCAAATTTTAATATCATGTAAAGTTTAAAGTCCTTAATTTTTGTACAGCAATATTTAAAAAAATCTTGAATTTCCCCTAGTATTTGACAATTGCTCTGTAGGTATTCCATCCTCTAACTTATTTACTACCCCTCCAAGAAGTAAATGTAAATTACTCACTATGATGTTGTCATTGCTCAGGCAAAGCATAATTTTTATAGCTGTCAATCGTATTTGATTACAAATAAAAAAAACGTCCCCCATCTTGCCACACCCACTTGTCACATCCTCTCTTTCAGAAATTGCCAGTAGTCCTCTTTGACTTTTAATACAATATTATTTATAACAATAGAAAGCCAAGATTTTAATCTATCAAATAACATATTATATTACATTGTTTTTTGTACAGAGAATTGTCTATCTTGCTTCCAATCCTACTTGGTTAACTATACAACCCTGCAAATTATTAATTGTAATGGTAAAGTCAGTGAATTTTATTATGAATTTTGGATTGTCTTCCTGGTTTTAGCTTTGTTAGCATGCTGAGCTGAAGAAGCACACTTTAATTTGGGCATTTTCAAAATTGAAAAGTGCTGTGGGTAAAAACTTGTGGCCAAATCCATTGGATAAAATTTGGTGATGTTGCATCAATGTGTACCCTTGACAACAAAGCAAACATAATGGGGAATTTCAGCTAATGACTATGATTTTTGTGTGCCAACAATACCAAGTGTGGGGTGTGCATATACCCAATTTTATTTTATTACTCATCATGATCTCTACCAACCTACCCTCAAATCTACTTACATGTCAGAAGTAGTGCATCCCACATGTTACATATATATGGCTGGAAGAATTTTAAAAAGTCAAACTTGCTTGTCATGACAGAAAGCCCCATTGTTTCATGCTAGTTGCATGTTGATCAGTAGGTACCGCAACAGCCAATATATCAGCTTGACAGATGAATATCTTTGTCTTTATATAGTAGATGATAATTAATAACTCACTTTTTACATGTAAATACTTTTTATCAAAATTAAGTATTGATTCCAATAGTTTCTTATATTACCAACATTATTATTGACCAGTAAACAATACATTACCAAGGACTATAAATCAGAAGAACTAATCTCCATACACTACTAAACCCCCGAGAGGAACATTTCTCACCTGAACAGGATCTATTTCTGAAGAGTTGTCTGTAGGAATATGAAAACGTAACTCCATCAGAGAAACAGCAGCATCATCATTCTGGTGAAACTCCAGAGTAACTTCATTTTTGGTTGTGGTACAATGTGACACATTGCCCAGTGGAATCTCAAAAGCACTGTTTTTGTCAACATCGAAAGATAAAACGGACCCTAGAATAAATTACTTTTTGAGATTATAAAAGTTAAATAACACAAAGAGGGAGGGGATCCCCAAAAAGCCACAATCCCCACTTCAAGAATACATAAAGACTAAGTATATGTTGCTCAAACAATAATTGCATATACACACACAAACTTAAAAGGTTCCAAAAAATATCATCAAATTTTCAACCATATTTTCAGTTTTCACATAAAAAAAACAAGAAATATTCATAATCCAAACAGATGGATAGGATGTACTTGGGGTAGGTATAACAAAAAAAAACTAACATATTGTTTGTCTCTTTAACTCTTTCCATATGTGGTCAATGTGACCGATCTTGTAACCATACGTACTTATCAGTTTTCATAATATAAATTTTAATGTTTTGTGTATCTTCATGAAATCTGACAAGCTTTCAGTAAATATTACAAGCCAAATTTATTCATATACACTTATAATAAAGAGGTTTAATTAAAGTTTGAACGTAACTCTCTGAAAGTTCGTGACATGCACACTTCGACCTACCTGTTGTGAGAGGGTTAATCCACAAAATATTGAAGTACAAATTCTATATTATGTTTTAATATTAACTGAGAAAAATTATAATAAAGTTTTATTAAAAAGTTTGCTTTATCTCAGCTGCCTTAACTCGTGTATGTGAAACCCTGAATACTCAGATGTTTTAAGAAGAAAACTTATTTAGGTATTCTATATGTGAAGCTAGGTAATCAGAATGTTTTAAGCAAAAGCCTTATTTTGACTGTTCTATAAGTAAACCTATTTGCAAAATTGTCTTAAAAAACATCTTTATTTTGGCTAGATATGCAGGCCAGATATAAACGTTTTAAATAGCAAATGTACTTCCAGCTATTTCATTCTAAATGCAAGGTCCCTCATACAAAGTAGGTGCACAGCAAAAATACTGTGGCTTAACTCTTTTCTGACTCTGTCAAATTTGTGACCCCAAATTGACCTTTACAGTTTCTATACTATAACTTCTACTGTATACCCCCCAGCGGCACAGCAGTATGTCTACGGACTCACAATGCTAGAAACTGGGTTTCAATACCTGTAGCGGGCAGAGCACAGGTAGCCCATTGTGTAGCTTTGTGCTTAATTACAAACAAACTTCTAATGTGTTTTGTGCATCTTCGAGAAATTTTGCAAGCTTTCAGTAATCATTAAGTCATTTGTAGAGAAAAAAAAAAATCATAATTTTTATCACATTAAAACTTTCTCCATGAACGTAATGAGTCAAAGAGTTGAATGTTCCAAGTACAATGATTTCCCACATCTGAAAAAAAATCTCAAATTTCATTTGCCTAATTTCTAAAACCTTATAAATAAATTTCAAACTTTTTTTCAGTAAAACTTTATATTTTATCGGTTATTCCTTCTATCTTAACTTTATACACCGTTGATAAATTTCACCACCCTCATAACCACCGCAGAAAATAAATAAATCTAAATTACTTTTTTTCCTTTCCAGAATGCCTTCATATTATAACATGAAACTACATTTGTTTATCCTAGATAGCTTTAAACTCATAACAGTATACATCTGTTTATACTTAAATTATAGTTTCTTTGCCCTTTGAACTAATATTTGTGTCATAAAATTTGCATATTACTTAGCAAACATATAGCTCACATTACCCTAATAAATTACATAATGCATGAGTCTACCTCATGAAATTTTTTTATTATTATTCTTTATTTTACCTAATCTAACCTAAAAAGTATCTAATTTTTTTACATTTAGTTTCTTTTATAATAATAAGTAAAGAATACAGATGAAAAACAAGAAATAACGTACTTACTCGGGTCTTTTTTGGCTGTCAATTTTCAATGACACTTTTTTATACTAATGGTATAAATAACTGCAATAAATAATTTTTTACTTAACTACATAATGCAACAAAAAATACAGAATAATAACATGCAATGACCTATAACTATCACAATTTTTCTGGCCTTCTAACTATGCAACAAGCGGCATTAGAAATTCAGTTAAACTCGTTCTTGTGTTTCCTGTGGGAATACATTTTGGAATATGTCTTTGAGAATAAGTTTTTTGCATGTTTCAATCTATAAGGATTTATCAAGAAGAACATTTGAACATAACTTAAAAACATACAGAAGTCAAAATTCTAATTAAGCAAAACTTGAAGGAAATGACTAAATTTACATAAAAAAAATGTTGTTTTCATGAAATACTAGAAATAGGATAGTCTTTCTCCATTGTCAGAATCTTACTTTTTAATAATAATGTAAATGAATAAAAACCCTTTAACCTGAGTGCTTTCAAAAGGTGGACCTTTCTTCTTCAGGGGCAAACTGGGAATGGTGGTGTAATCGAATGAGTGATGTATATAAAGGGAGTTTAGTGGACCTTTCTTCTTCAGGGGCAAACTGGGAATGGTGGTGTAATCGAATGAGTGATGTATATAAAGGGAGTTTAGTGGACCTTTCTTCTTCAGGGGCAAACTGGGAATGGTGGTGTAATCGAATGAGTGATGTATATAAAGGGAGTTTAGTGGACCTTTCTTCTTCAGGG